TAGCTTGGTGTCTGGATTCTATCAGATGTTCTAGGATGGAGCTGTGGGGTCATCGTTTTTCTCCTTTGTAAAACCAAGTTGGTAAGTGTTCGATGATACGTTTGGGAAGCGAACGCTTTCTATTTTCTTACATTCCCAGTGAAGCATAAGGCTTCAAGCTATAGGTTTGAAGTTTCAGTAGCCGTAGAATGTATTTTTACGCGATGGGGTTGTTAGCCTCACGCCCGTCCAACCTTCTCTCATTACCTGTCTTATTACTGGCTTAGTGAGGTAAGGGATTGCGTCAGTGACCAGGGAATTGAACTCAGGACCACATGAGGCGTGGTTGGAGAGCATTCTACAGCTGTACTATCGACTCACTTGTTGTTTCCTGCAAACGCACAGCAGATATGCAAATCAGTCCTAAATGATGTCACTGAACTGGAACTTGTCACATTAGGAGTGCATCTCAGAAGTAGTTCCTTGAAAGAAACTGTTAGTAACCAGATATACAGCTGGTTTTTTATCAGTTTCCGTGAACGAAAATCTTCTGACGAAGAGTGATATGATGTCAAGAGACACCATACTTTTGTTTGATACGTTGATATCTTTTAGGGTGTCACGAAGCGAATGGTGGGTACATCTGTTTTCTGACAAGTTCTAAAATATCAGATAATCATTTCGCAACTGAATGGTATGAGAAAGCTGGAATTTCTAAAATTGGGCGCATTGAAAGACCGGCTTTATGTATCCTTGTTAAATCATATAGTCTTGGTATGATTGATCCAGTATGTCGAATATCATCATAAATTTCATACCTGGTTAACTAACTGTTCGGTTTTCATTCTTCTGAGAACATCAGTAAGGTTTCGTTCATTCTGTTCTGTTTTATATCTTTCACTGATCAGTATGTGATTAATTTTCTCTATATAATCTTTTTTGTCCCTGAGGATTGCACCAACCCCTTTATCAGGACGGAATACCAATAGTTCTCTGCTAACGTCTCAGCAGATCTAATTGCTGTCTGTACTTCTTTGTTAGATGGTTGTAAACTTTTCGTTTTGTATTCGAATATTGATAACAGAAATCGATCATGGTTGTAGTTCAGGGTCAGAGAATAAAGTTAAACTATTGGTTCGAGTAAATATTATCATTAATTCCTTTAATTCGTAGAGGAACATAGAGCTTCAGCCGCTCACGTCTCCATTGTGTTCGGTTTTCTGCCAACATTTTCACCAGGCTCCAAGTCTGCCCACATGTTTTCATCTCCTCTTCACATGATCTCCTCCAAGTTACCCTTGCATTGACGACCAACTCGCTGCTTCCCTTTCGGGTTGTACTCTAGCAATCGCCTGTCTAGTGATGTCACTTGATGGCTTGTTTCCTCAGAGTATGGCCAGCCAATCCATCTTCATTTCTTCCTGCTTATTTGTTGCACAATCGGTTCCTGACTGGTTCTCTCATTGCCAGAGATCTCTGTTGCCGATCTTTACTGGCCATCTGACCTTGAGTATTGAGCGAAGACAACTGTTAATGAAGGTCTGTAGTTTGTTTGAGGTGCCCTTTATGACGCGCCAAGTCTCTGACCCGTATAGTGAGTAGCACTGACTTCACATTGCAGTTGAAAATCCGGATCTTATTTTTAATGCTGGGTGCTGTTGACCTCCACACAGACTAAAGAGTAATGAAACTTGTCCTTGCTTCGATAAGTTTCGCCTGTAGTTGAAATGATGCTTCCCAGGTAGGTGAAGGAGGCTGTTTCTTTCAGGTTCCTCCCATTCATACTGGCCGATTGTTGTCTGTTGTTGCTGTTGCTGTTGGTGTTGGCCAGGAATCTTCATCACCTCTGTTTTCTCTATGTTCACCTGAAGTCCTATCTTTGATGCTTTTTTCTATGTCAACTTGTTGCTTTTTATTTGCATATCTTCTAGTTTGTGGGAAATCAGACATATATCATCAGCAAAGTCCAGAACCTCCAAGATTTTTGTGTGAGTCCATTTTATGCCTGTTTCCTCATTGCCCGTTGTCTGTCGGTCGCATGATCCAATCTACTGCAATCAGGAAGATCATTGGTAATAGTAAGCAGTCTTGTCTCACTCCCGTCCTCACTTCGAAGGCTTCTGTAAGTTTCCCGTTGTGGAATACTTGGCATGTAGCATTGTCGTATAACTGTTGGATGAGATGTATAATTGTCAGTTGGGTAAGTAGACTTTCGAATTCTACCTGAATGTGAAGCCTATCAGCATTTTGGTTAATTTAGCGAACAAAACCTAACTATGTCACTTACTACCTGCGTCCGACGCATCTGCACTCCTGATGCTCTGTATCGAAGAAGAATTAAACTTTGTGAAAGAAATCTTTATTCAAAGCGAATATTCACCAAGATTTGTTGAAAAAATTATCAAACCGAAACAATGGACATCATTTGTACCAAAAACAGAAACATTACGTGAACTTCGACCTTATAGGTGACTTACTCAGTAATGTCCTTAGGTGGAGAATTTTGGCTTCTTTAGGAAGCACTCTGTACGCAGTAAAGCTAAGAGTAGTATTCCTCAGATGCCAACTGATCTGTATAGACCCGTATGTCAAGATCTCGAATCTGACTACTTATATGTGTGTATACCAGTTCATCTGTTACTGTAGTACCATGTTTATCAGCCATTCGACGCATATCTTGTCCAGAAAGGGTTCAAGAACACCGTCCTGCATGTAGATTTTCAACTCCAATGTTAAGTCAGTGCTACGGACTGTTCAGACCAAACTTGGCGAAAGGCACTTCAAGCAAACTACAGACATTCGTCAACATCTGTCTTAGCTCAAAACTAGTCAGGATCAGATAGCGATTCAGAAAAGATCAGCGAAGGGGATCTCTGGGAGCTAACCAACCCATCAGGAAACACTTGTGCAACAAATGCGCAGGAAGAAATGGGGCTGGATTGGTCTTATTCTGAGAAAACCATCAACTGAGTTACAACACACGCTAGGCCATGACTCAGGCAAAACCCGAATATGAAGCGATGACTTGCTCGTCAGTGCGAGGGTGACATGAAGGCAGTTATGCGAAGACGAGATGAAAGCATGTTGGCAGCTCAGGAGTCAGATGATGAAAACGTACACGTAGAACCGAATGCAATGGAAACGTGCGGCTGAAGCCCTATATTCCTTTAGGAATTAAAGGAAACATTAATAATAATTATCCTGCACAATTGCAGAAGTTTGATAGCAGCTCTATGAGGAGTGCAATCACCGAACAGTTCGTCAACACTGGTCATTTACATCTCAAACAAATGCCTTCTGCTTCAAAGCAATCTACAGAGTGAGCATTAAACTGCCAAAGTTCGTAAATTTCGTCTTCTCTGCCTACCCCATCTTATTCTAAGCACCTATTGATTTCTGATTAGTAACTGGCATACTGAGGTAGGGCGACTTAGGACTCTACAAGAACTGGCGACGAATCATGCTCCTGTCGATCCCATGTAAAATACTGAGTCACATCATCCTAGAAAGAATAAAGGACCCACTGGATACAGAACTCCGAGAAGAACAAGCTGGATTCAGGAAAGTTAGGCAAATCATGTTCTGACCAAATTACAACTCTACGCATCATCATCATTGAACAAAGCATGGAATGGCAATCAAACCTCTACCTCAACTTTATAGGCCTTCAACAGACAGCGTTGACCGTGAAGTGATTTGGAAATTACTCGAGTACTATGGCGTACCCTAAATATTCATCAACCTTATTCAAAAGCTGTACTACAACGCTACATGTCAAGTGATCCACAACGGAAGACTCAGCGAGGCGTTTGGAGTAAACACAGGAGTCAGACAAGGGTGCTTACTATCACCAATGATATTCCTAATTGTGGTGGACTCACTGGATTATGCGTCAGACAGTGAATGGGAAACGAGAAGACAGGAATATCCTGGACCGACGGGAAGAACCTAGAAGGCATGGATTTTGCGCGTGGATGTCACACAAAATCGAAGACCAACAAGCGAAAACTGATAAACTGGTCGAAGAAGCAGCCGGCGAAGACAGGACTCCAGGTGAACATAGACAAGGCGGGGGTTATGAAATTAACCATCCAACAACAACAGCAACATCATCCAGCGCCAATCACCATCAACGGGAGGGATTTGAAAGAGGTTACTTCATTCACTTATCATCTAGGGAGCATTGTCTCAACTACGGGCAGTCGGAACGGACAAGGATGTCAAATAGAGCGAGAATCGGGAAGGCGAGAAACACATTTATCAACCTTAAACCAATTTCCGTCACTTAACTCACTATCAACAACGAAATTCCGATTTGCAATACAAACGTCACTTCATTTCTTCTATATGGATAAGAAACTTAGCGGGCGGGTCACAAAGAATATTTACAACAGCTTATTGCAGAGTTTTATCAACCAACAACTGTCTTCACTCTATGCTAAAGATCAGATGGCCGGGCCGGAAAGAATCACCAACAAGAAACTATGGGAACAAACAAAACAAGAACCCATCGCCAACCAACAAATATGCAGGAGAAAGTGGAGAAAGATGGATTGGACATTCGCTGAGGAGACCGCTGGGTGACATCGCGCGCGCGTCAAGCCATTGCTCGACTGGAACCCGACAGAATGGGAAGCGAAGAGTGTGACCTCAGTGCAAGGGTGACATGGAGGAGATCGTGTGAAGAGTAGTTGAAACAGTATGGACTAACATAGATGCAGGTGAAAAGTACACCAGAAGACAGAAGCAAGTGGAAACGTCCAGTTAAGGCCCTATGTTCCACTAGGAACCCAAGGGAACAATAAAAAAAAATAATAATACTGAGGTAGACTATGGATGTACACCTTTAAGGTATTTTTGTTCAAATCTAACTTCTCTTCCTCTGATTACTGACACAACTTAGATAGAAAGATATATACGTGAGAAGTTTACAAACCAATAAGACTTCAGCTTTACTTTAGAATGTCTCACAACAGCAGAAAGAAATATAAATAAATTTATTTAAACTTTGTTACAGTATAACTGATATTCGATCTTAATTTTAGATAAATGGCGACTGAACATTGGACTTTGAAATTGCCGCAGTATGTTTAAATTTTTGCAAAGATTTAAATACTCACTTTAAAAATATCACACACTTATCATTAAGAAGAGATGAAAATTGTGTGTATACTTGTTATATTCGCTACAATTATTATTCAACAAAGTTTTAATCAAATAACCAGTGATGATCATTTCACAATCGGTGCTACTTCTGATCCGATCAGTTCAAATCTAGTACAGGTGGGTTATTCGAATTTTAAGAAAAATTTATATTATCTTTTTGTTGATTTTTCATTTCTTACGTAACGTAGGCTGTTAGAAAAGATATGACGTCTGTTGGGCACAGATTGAATTTAGATATGTTAGAGATGCATGTGCTTGATGTAGTTGTGTCGTCTGAGCTAGCTGGATAGTTTATTTGCGAAGATTTCATCGTCCTAGTTACTTACTAGGCAACATCTTCAGCGCATACACTTCAATTTGATTTCTTCATGAGTTTATTGGTCATCTCTTCTGGTGAACTTGAAAGTCGTGGTTGTTTAATTTTGTGCGTTTTCATACCCTTTAGGCTACTTGTATTGGTACTGATTGTTCAAATATTAGTTTTTTTACGAGTTGAATCACGGATTGACATAAGTTAGAGAACCAACAGGTTCATTCAGTCAAGTGTGAGGATCGATGTCCTGCCGATGAAATTAGTTGGTGCCAGTCGCATTAAATCACGAATTAGTAGAAGTTTTAGAATTCATCGACTGGTCATTGATGAGTCGGGTCCCAGTGGCTGAATACCATACGAGCTTGGTTGCTTGTAACCAGAAGGTACTGGGTTCGAACTCTGGCAGTGAGTGCGTACTGACGATGATTCCTGAACTAGGATGAAACAGCTGACTGTCCAATACTTCCTGCTGGTTTTCAATGGTTCTCTAACCAATATCGATCCGTGGTCAATTTCGTAAAAACAAATCTAACCCTTACATACCAACTCTTGAAATGTTCAAATATTAGACATAAGAAACACCAAGGATGCTAGAGAATTTTTAGAAACCCGGTATTCCAGCAAATTGTCAATCAATAGATACATTGGCACAGACAAAATTTACCAATCGATAAGAAGAAGGCAATCTCGTGCAAACAAAGTGTCAAGCTTCAGGTGAAGGAAACAATCAACACCAATACCAATACCACAAGTAGCCTAGAGGGTGTGAAAACACACAAAAACAACCAATCACAAGGTTAAAAAATGGTCACCAGTGCGTCGGTGGCAAAGTGGTTAGGTCTCTCGCCAATCATGCACATGATCCGAGGTTCGATCTCCTGCCGACGCACACCTGATATCTATGGTCGGCCTGGAAAATTTGGGCTACCGATATCCATGCTGAAAATTCCATACTTGTACCAAAAATATACGGTGTGGAATCAAGCTGTAATCAAAAATAAAAATTTTTAAAAAATTTTAAAAAAATGACTAATAAACTCACGGGAAAATCTAAAAGCTTACTTCATTAAATTGAAGTGTATGCTCAAATAAACCATTTGGCTAGCTCAGAGAACCCAATTACATCAAAAACAGATTGAATTTACTTTCAGTGGGAAATCAACTATGAGAATTAGAAGAAGGCTAACTGATTCAAAGCACAACTATTTCCTGAGTTTCATAAATTTGATATTTTCAGGGTTATAAGTAGTTTAGAAATTGAAATTTAAAAATTGACGAGTAGAAGTGAATATTTCAAATGAAATGGTGAAGTATCTTCAAAAACCAAGATATATACATATTGCCAAAGGGGTCAGGTTAAAGCCAAAGATTGTATAATCGGATGAAAGAAAGCATTAGGACATCCAGTGAATTGAATTTTTGATTTTCCTGTCGATTGATTGGACCGAAGTGTTCGGTCTCAGGTTGACATGTCGGCTTCTTGTGCAGATGCTTCGACGATGTCTGGGGATTTGATTTGTATACAATTGGTGGATGGTGGCTAGAAGTGGAATCCAGGATAAAGCGCATTTCGTCCTAATTGGGACTCGTCAGCTGGATGTACCTGCATTTCTCAGTGAGTGATGATGTTCCCACCGAGGCTCGAACCCAGTGCCCATAGTTTCAAACGCCAAAGCGTTATCCACTAGACCACTTGGGCCACGAGAGCCACCTCTTGTGCGACGGGTCATATTAATTATTGAATTGAATTTTTGATTTTCCCGTCGATTGATTGGACCGAAATGTTTGATAAAATTTCGGTCCAATCAATCGACGGGAAAATCAAAAATTCAATTCAATAATTAATATGACCCGTCGCACAAGAGGTGGCTCTCGTGGCCCAAGTGGTCTAGTGGATAACGCTTTGGCGTTTGAAACTATGGGCACTGGGTTCGAGCCTCGGTGGGAACATCATCACTCACTGAGAAATGCAGGTACATCCAGCTGACGAGTCCCAAATAGGATGAAATGCGCATCCTGGATTCCACTGCCAACCACCATCCACCAATTGTATACATAAGGACATCCAGTTACCAGGGCAGGGCAAGGAAAGACTAATAACTGCTTCTTTCTGAACACACTTATCTGGGAGAACAGAAAGAAGGGCACACACACACACCTCCGAATTTCCGAACATATACCAAAAAGCCTATGTCATTAGCTGGGAACAAACTCTCAAAATAGCGCTATTACCAGACATCTCGTTGATTCGGGTCATGAGGTGGAAATCGCGGAATCCAACCACTTCTACTGTCAGTGGTGACAACCGTGTTGACTTCTACTGACTTGATGTTTGCCCTTCTAACTCTTACATAATTCCACATTTTTCTTTGTTTCTTTGTGCATACAAATCACAACTCACTCGTTAAAGTATTCATCTCATTGCGTAACTGTATTATCCTTACTCAACTGCTTTTATGTCTTGATCAACATCAAGAACTATGCATTTTGACAACGCCTCACTGCTATCCTCTTGCCAATATTCACCTCCAGGCACAACGCCAGTTACAATTTTATGATTCATTATATTTTTTGAAATGTTGTGACAACAATAGTCTCAACATATTTTTATTCTTTTCTAACACACACGCATCCAAAAGTAAATGTATATAATTGCGACTGTACAGGTAAGTGAATGAATTCACCACGGAAAAGAGACTCTTCACTGAACTGCTTGTTTTGTTTTCATTCATATCTGGGTGGGGATCATTCATGAAACTTTTTTTCAAACATTACCTTCATCAATTATTTAAGCGCCTAAACCTTGCATTCTTTTCTAATTTCATGAATAAATTTATTCAGAGAGAACAGGAGTTCCCCAGGGTGCTGTTCTTTCTCCGTTTCTCTTTTCCTTCTTCTTACATGACTTACCTCTTTCAAACGAAATCGACTTCGTCAAAAATGTGCAGATGACCTGACTGTTTTTTAGCTTCCCGTTAAGTTTCAGTCAGACTGTTTCAAATTAAATAGCTTACTGTTGGACATCAGTCAGTGGTCTAAACTAAATGACCTTATGCTGAATCCCTCAAAATGCCAGACTACTGACTTCTCCTTTAGGCATAAACGAGATCTACAAACACTAGTAAGTACTCACATGAAGCCTGTAGCATTGAGAGGACTAAAATTGGAACGAAGTCTAATGCAAAATACCTCGGACTACTTCTATGTTCCGACCTTACTTGGTCATCTCATATCCAAACGAATTCTAAGAAAGTGTTCCGTCTAGCCTACATTTATATTCTTTACTCAATCCCTATTTTTGTGTATCTACTGGTTCCGATTATATTAGCACTATGAGTATTACAAAATTGTTCTGTGATTAATCTCCTTGTAATATTAGTTTTGTGTTTTTTTGTTCGACAGTATTAACCTGACAATCTTGTTTGTGAACGCTGTTATCACTATCTTAAAATTTGTTTGTATTATGCAGGATAACTCACACTACCACAACAAACACCCCATTAGAGCTGACAATAAAAACAACACCCTGAAATGTTTATTTTATGATTGTTTAGTGTTGTTCAATCAAATTAACTGATCATCTTGACTATAAACATTCTTAAGAGCATTTCATAGCTTCTTGTATGATTATAGCTGTTACTGTTCACCACACACAAACATATCAATAGCTTCCACTACCCAAATACTGAGATATTATTTGACATTTTGTTTATTTCCATTCTACTTCTTGTTATTTTTTCGCATTTTTTGTTATTTTGTGTTTTTTTGTTGTTGTTGTTGTTTATTAGATTTATTTTTTGAAATACTCCTTTTAAATGTTTGATAAAATTAGATACAACATTGTAGATAAAGTGCTGAAAATTCCATACTGTATCACACTTGTACTGTTTCTGGAATAAAGCAAATTGTTATTGTCGTTTTTTATACCTCACAACATCATATTCTTTTATTACCACAGGAAGTTAATCAACCGCAAAATGAAGATGATAAAGGCAGGCCAGGAGGGCAGAATTCATTCCCACTAAAAACCTCAAATATCACATCCTCTATAAAATGTTCATTCTGTGTGATGGCAGTAAATTTTGCTAGAAAATTTTTAACAAAACCATCATCATTTGAAGTGATTCATGGAATTATCAGTGAAATGTGCTCTGTGGTCCAGGACTATGAAATTGAGGTGAGCTAATGAAAGTGTCTTTTCTCTCTAAAGCCACAAATGAGCAGGCGTTATTCCTCTTCTTTTTTTTATTGCTGTTGACCAGTTGAAATAGGAATAAAGTGAATAATACTTTTGAATCAGAACTATTGATGGTGAGGTAATTCATGACTGTAACAGCAAATGGAGCATTTCAGTGAGTTGTAGAATGACGCGAGAAGTTCAGCATATCCAATACAGGTAACAGAGGGACACCACCTTTACACACTTTAGGAAGACCATATATAAACGAGGGATGTTTGGACCAGGCGGATTGAGCTGTTCATACATACACCAAGTAATAGCAGATTCGTCGTTCAACTTTTTCAAAGTTGTATGATATGGGGAATCTATCATATCTAGTATTGGGCGGAGTGGGACGTCTTTGTTTGTTTTATCCATCCCCCTGTTTATTATGGCATTCTAATTCCCAATTTTAATTTTTATTAATTTGACCCTTGACCGGATATTATTCTGGAACTTTCCCATCCATTTGATATAAACACACGAATGTACAGCCTAGATGATGACTTCGTCGAAAAGAAAATTGTCTTCGCTGCAACTGTCTTCTTATTTACTCCTATGACCCAATGTGTATATTCCGTGATTTGAAGAGGAGCAAGGACCGTTCGACGGTAAGGGAACTGAACAAGTTTCTACGTTTGTCCGTCAAGCTTGCTGAGGCGAACGCAAAGATTTTCTTCCTGAAGAATTGTCTCGAGAAACATGAATATCCCAAAGTATTTTGGAAGCATCTCAGACGAAATCACATATCTCCTAACTCACGTACGCTGAAACGACACACTCTGAATCACATCGATGCAGTGCGATCAAGACTGCCTGAGCTAGAGCAGAATATCTCAAAAAGCTCCCACGTTCTCCATGAGTTATCTGAAGACGAGAGAACAGCATTCGAAAACTACTCCAATACGGTTACAAAGAAAAGAACAGATGATGTTATAATGAAACTAAACCAAAGCCTAAAGTCCGTTGCAAAAGAAACCATCTTTCCTACTTGTCCAGAAAAATACGTGTACAATTATTCTGATGTTCAACTATCTCCAATTCAAATGCAAATCTTAGCACTTGGGCCTAAGTTTTGTGATGCAACGTCAAAAGTGAATGAACTCAACACGAAAGTGCAATTTGAGAATTTAATCGACCAGACGAAAGATCTTGTCCCAATCTCATATGAGAATGCAGAACTTTTCAAATCAACCGTTTTAAATTGCTGTCTCGATTATATCAACAAAAAACCCAGCCTCCGTAACGTCCTTTCCAAAGAACATCGAAAGGAGATGGAAGAACTGAAGGATAATGAAAACTTGATCATCACGCGACCAGATAAAGGCTCTGGAATCGTCCTGATGAACAAATCAGACTACCTAAGCAAACTCTCGATGATACTATCTGATGATAAAAATTTTTCAAAATTTTTAACAATTCATCCCCATAGAAGTTATTAAAAGGACGGTTTCAGGAAAAAACGAAATTTTCGTTTTGACGAAGTCATCAACTATGAGACTGTACATTCGTGTATTTATATCAAATGGATGGGAAAGTTCCTGAATAATTTCCGGTTAAGGGTCAAATTAATAAAAATTACAATTAGGAATTTTAAATGCCATAATAAACAGGGGGGGGACGGATAAAGCTAAGAAAAATTAGCATCATAATTACTGAGAAGATTGGTAAAGATTATGCAATTAGGGGTTATAAATGTAGAAATAACAAAAATAGACAGCATGTTTGGATAAAAAATCTAGTGGGATCATAACTAATGTGACGAGTAATTCTTTAAGTAATCAGGGATTAAATATGTAGAAATAGTAAAATGACAAAATAGACAGGAAGTTCGGATATGAAAATATGGTAGTGTAAACAGGGGTTGAACGTACTCTATAGTAACCGTTTTCAGTTTAACCGCCATCCAAACAACCTTCCTGGCATAATAGGATCTACAGGAATATAAGTTTCAGTCAGTGTAGCTTGTTGGTTCACCGAGGTATTCAAGCACAACCACCACGACAAGGTAACAGCCGACGGCAGGGAATAGATAGTGAAAGACGATCAGTCAGCAGGAAGCCTCGGACCTGCTTTCCATCCTTGTCGTCACTCGTCAGTCAGGAAGCCGTATGGGCAATCTTGAAGAAATTAATGCCCCTCCCCTCTGAGATTCGAACCCATGTCACCTACCTTGGCAGTCAGATATGTTATCACTAAGCTATTCCACCAACGGACCAGACATATTGATTAGTTGCTAACTAATGTCCGACGAAAATACTGTATACATACTATTTTCTATCTAATTCTACCTCAAGCGTCACTTTTATTTTTTATTGTTTTTTTCCAGTGCTACGATGTGGCTGCGCAAATAGTCGACTCATATGTGATCGTGTTCAACAGAACAGATGCAGTAGATTCATGTTTGGTAAGAAATCTTTAGTAGGAAGTGCATTTTTGTTATTTGTATTGGTTTCCCTACTCATGAGTTGCATACAATTAGTTCTTTTCCTGAAATTTTTCTAATACATGAACAATAAAAACATTGTAGGATTATGAATGACATTAAGTTTGATTTCGTTTTCTCTGAATCGCCCAAAGACACAGTAATTTAAAAATTTATGTACACAAATAAGATATTTTTACACCTATATAACAGTTACAGACTGCCGTTAAAAGTAGAAATTTCTGTCATAATGATAAACCCAACTGTAAATTTCATCCATCCAGACAAAACAGAACAATTCAACTTAATACTGACAATATACAATTGGTGGATGGTGGCTAGTAGTGGAATCCAGGATGCGCATTTCGTCCTTTTTGGGACTCGTCAGCTGGATGTACCTGCATTTCTCGTGGCCCAAGTGGTCTAGTGGATAACGCTTTGGCGTTTGAAACTATGGGCACTGGGTTCGAGCCTCGGTGGGAACATCATCACTCACTGAGAAATGCAGGTACATCCAGCTGACGAGTCCCAAACAGAACGAAATGCGCATCCTGGATTCCATTGCTAGCCACCATCCACCAATTGTATACTAATTAAATGCCCGGACATCGTCGAAGCATCTGCACAAGGAGCCGACATGTCAACCTGAGACCGAGCACTTCGGTTCAATCAATCAACGGGAAAAACAAAGATTCAATTCAATAATTAATACTGACAAGGTGTAATTAAGAGTCAAATTGGTGAGAGGGCAGTTAGAATATGACACGGGCCTTCAAGCTAGACGTTTGAAGTTTCGGTAGCAGTGATGTTTATTTTTACAGGATGGGGTCGCTATCCTCATGCTCAACCGCCTCTCTATACCTGTTATAATAGTGGCCTATCGAGGTTCAGGAGTGCCTTGGGCAAACATCGAACCCCAGACCGCATGCGTGGTCGGCGAGTATTGTACCGCTAAGCTATCAACGCACATGTGTGAAGGTGAGTGTCAAGGAAATTAACCTTAAGTTCCTATTATTTTCGAAGACGCTTCGAATCGATAATTACGGTGAACGATTGTCGAATTTAACTTCAAAACAAAAGGACTTGTAATAAGACAATATATATTGTTCGGCAATTAAATTCTTCATCGTACAAATGTCTATAAACGAATGTTTTATAAGGAATGCAAGAGTACTTTTATTCGTCTTCTTCTAAATTGTACACGACTGAATCATTCGCGCTTTCGAGTTGCCCGCCAATGGCTACCACTTCCAATAAACAAAACGTTCAATGTTCACGTTCGTTTACAGTGAGACTAAGAAACAAGACTGTTATATTCATAGTTATTATAGTTACGAAAAGTGTTGGAAAGATGAACAAGGTATAAAGTTGGTAAAATGATGAAAAAAGTGAAGTTAACTAATTACCACAGCGATGAAAGGCGAACTACAATGTCTTCTGGCAGGCATAAATTAGGCTTTAGCAGTGAGACTACTACTTATGCATGTCGTAGTAGTATATATATTTGTAGTAAAAATTCATTGTTACATTATTGTAGTTAATCCACTGTTATAACTGAATATATAAAATTCAATTTACTCTTTTTTTTCAGCAAGTTAACCTCTGTGGTTAATACTGTCAGTATTCTAAATAAAAGAATTCTAATATAACTGCTTATATTTTTGTTGGCTAATACATTCTCTTGCTAAAGGAAAAAGAGTATTTATAATAATAATAATAATAATAACTTGTTTTATTGCAAAAATAGTACTAATTCACTACAAACCTGTAATAATAGGTTGCATGTGAGATGTCTTTTTTACGGAGTGAGGTCAGTGAGGTGAGTGATCTGCTAAAATCAAGTTTTAAGATGGTTGAGCATGGATGGGACACCTGATCTCATGTGTCGTGGTTCGCGAGTACCATAGAAGAACCGATTAACAATAACACTGTAATACGCTAGCAGAAATAGTGATATCGGCAAAGGCATATGTTTTACAGTATATGACATATAAGAAAATAAATAACATCCTGAGGCATTGTGTGATTTCTCGTTGAAGTTCCGAGGTGATTGGTTAGTGAAATAATGTTGACCCATCGCTTACTGCGAATTGTCAAGTAATAAGCACAAATTGAAACTCGGTCTGGAGTCCTATGCTCCACACTGTACACCTTTTCTAACTCAGCAAACATCTTTTCAGTGAATAATTGAGGGATGCCTTTTAAAGTTTTTCATCACTGTAATCAAGGTCCCATATTTGTCGAATAACTTGCAAAGGGCATGAGGAAAATATGGCTAGTGCTTCATAAGAAACACATCACTACGCTTCATACAGAGAATTTGCTAACAGGGATTCCAATAATTTTGTATTTTGAAAAACATTAAAATGGATAAAGAAATGTTTACTTTCCAAGGTTTCTTTTCAAAGATGGAACCTGTTGACTGTATGTGTAGCGACTGTCTTTTGCTATTCAGAAGTATACTGCTACTCATCACGTGATATATTTGAATGTGCGTCGATGGCACAGTGGTTAGAACGCTCGCCGACCATGCACAAGGTCCGAGGTTCAATCCCCGGCCACAGACGCACTCCTTTACCTCGCTAAGCCAGAAATAATGCTGGTAAAGAGGAAAGGTTGGGCATGAGGCTAGCAACACCATCCTGTAAAAATAAACATTGCTACAGAACCTTCAAGCCACTAGCTTGAAGCCCTATGTTCTACAGGGGAACGTGAAGGAAAAATTAATCATAATTTACTAAATAAGTCCCAAAGTGACAAGTCTGAGGAAGTATGATTAAATCAAGAAGCATCATCCATAATGATCCTCATGTATCCACTACCTCACATCCATAGCATGATGCTGACCTTCCGTGTTTTTCACAAACTTTAGAAAATTCTTCTCATTCAAAATTTCTATCTAAGGAAGTATAAAAGATGCAGGAGGCTAGTATGAGTTTAATTCTATTATTTGTCGAATCGTTCTAACTGCCAACAACCTTAACTATAAATAACTTAAACACAATTCAAAGAATGGCGTTGAAATGCATTACTCTCGCAGACGATACGTTTCTCATAAGTAAGTAGATCTTTGAAAGGAAGGCGAAAAAACTGAATGAACGATGTGGACGTCCAATTCTGACATAAGATTTATGGTTGTGGAATTCACTTTACAGCATGGATCGTAGTGTAAACGAATATGAATTTCGCAATGTCAAGTAAAGTTTTTCTTCTTAGCATTGATATTTCTTCAATACGTGGGTACAGGACCGTTCAGAGATTAAAATGATAAGCATAGAAGTATAACAGCAGCAGTCTTCCTGTGAAGACGGAAAGCTTTGAAATTATTCTGAAACTTTCAATAAAGGCTTGTCAGTTTTGTGAAGAGTTCTATTTAAACGCCGTATAAATTTTAAAACTCTCCGGACTCAATTGTTTTCCTCTTTTATGTGACACTGTATTTCACACACACATAAATCACATTAACAGCATTGACGCCGGATATTCTGAGGCCCTGCAAAAGATAAATTTCCCCGGAATAGTTCGCTTAGCAGCATTCAGAAACAGAATAAACAGCTAAAAGTGTCTACTGGAAGCCGTGTGATGATCACGTATGAATGTCATATCAGGTCATCGATAGTGTATAAAATGACTTCAACTTGAATGGTCAGGAATAATAATAATAAAACAGTACTAATGATACAGCAAGGAATTTTCAACATTCAGTACAATATTGCATCTAATTTACTCAAAAACGACAAAAAAACAACTAAAAATACACATTACATAATAATAATAATAACCAAACGTTATATCAGCTATATAGCAAATTACAGTACGCAATACGGAGAAAAATATGCATAAAGTATAAAATTGTAGTAATAATAGTAATAACAACTAAAATAAAGTAGCAAAGTTATAATTAAACGATAGAAAGTGTGACACCATACAATACAGAAAGATGAACAATGCAAGTTTCGATTCACTTTGCTAATTACATAGTAACTTATGTGTTTCACGTCTAATAGAGTCTTCGTCACCTAAAATGCGGGCTAAATAGGGTATTGTAGAATTTCTGTACTTAGTGGTACGAGCATATAATATTTTATATTGACTTCTCGTCCTACCTGATGAAATACAAGGGGATAGTTGTGAATAAAGGGGGTGCAGAAGGTCTGACAGTACAGCCTTTGCCCATTTTGTACAGGAATTTATGTGTATCTCGACTGTAATACTTGCGAGCTCACGCAGTGGCATATCACAAGCCCTACTCTTAGCATTTAGTACTCTTCGTTATATGATATAATCTTTTTTGAGAAACCCAGGGAAGATTAATGGAGAGCAATAGAGTACAGGTAAAATACAGGAGTTTAAAAATTGCAAAACTAAAGGTTGGTTGATACCTGATTGTTTTAACTTTTAATATAGAAGGTAATACGAAACATTTTCTTAGAGATAGATAAGATATTAGATGACCATGAAAGGTCAGAGGAAAGAACTAATCCAAGGTATTTAATGCTTGATTTGGTTTCAATTTCCGTGCCATCTATGCTACAGGGATCGTGCGAGTTAACTAGTTCAAATAAGTCGCGTCGATGCTTGAAAGTAAAGTCAAGCGCCTGACATTTGGAAGGATTTAATATAAGACCATTTGACTTGGACCAGTTGTTGATGTCCAACAGAAAGCTACTAAGTTTGGAGCAGTCAGACTCGGAAGTGATAGGCAGTGAGTGATACAGTCAGATCATCTGCATATTTGACAAAGTTAGTTTCGTTTGAATGAAGCAGGTCATGTAGGAAGAAAGAAAAAAGAAAAGGAGAGAGGACGGCACCTTGAGGAACACCGGATTTTGTAAGCGAGGTAGAAGAAGATTTGCCATTATATACAGTATACTGCATTCTATCAGAAAAATAGGACTGCAACCAACTCTTAGCCCAGGATCCTTTTTGTGTCAACGATAGCTTATTTAACAAAAGGCCCCTAGGTACAGAGTCAAAAACAGATGTGTAGTCTAGGAAAGCACTACGAACATATCTGGCACCTTTGTCTAAACAAGAAACAACATCATCGTCAATATCACCTTCATTTAGATCCAAACTCACATAGCGCGATTTATTACTTCAAGTTGGAACTGTGCTTTATACTACTTAATTAAATAATTATTTTGAATCCACACATGAATTTAAATAAATAATAATAATAGCTCTATTCTGAAAACTACTCAAACAATGCACAAGATTTCGTGCTGAATTTACTGCGTGATATTGTAACAACAGAAGACAAAGGCCTGGAAACAGATCGTTTATTTACGAAATCAACAGATATTTATATATTTTCATGTACAATACTACAACAATCCATGCCTACTGCTCCCAAGAATCTTCTCTATTTGAATCTACAATTCAACGGAGATTCTTCAGCAGAAATACTGAGAAACCGCCTGTGCCGTTCACTGAAGAAAACCTTCTTTGCAGCGGAACTGAGACTAACTTCCTCTACGAAACCAATGATTCGCACGAACGTGAAGGATAAGCTTCCACTGGGGCCTCATCAATGTGCATCTACCAATTCACCTGCTCATGTGGAGCTAGGTATGTCGGCCGTACCCAGCGTTTGCTATCCAAACGAATCAGCGAACACTTACCTTCATGGTTTTATAAAGGAGGAAGAAGATCCCCCCGCCACAGCTCTATCCTAGAACACTTGATCGAATCCGGACACCAAGCAAACCCACAAAACAACTTCTCAGTTATCTACACAATACGTGGGAATCTTGCCAAAAGAGTACGAATTAAACTTCTTCAAACTGCAGAAGCAATGGCAATTCACATATTGAATCCTGAACTCTGCATACAAAAGAAGTTTGTTCAGTCACTAAATCTACAATGGTCCTGATCTATCTTAACACCAAATACGTAATTTTGTCTTACCTCTTTCTTCTTTGTTTTTCTATTTCTTAATTGCATTATTTTCTACCCCCACCCTCTATTAAATCTCTACGCTCATGACGACTGTTGCTAACTCGATTTTCGTTTATTTTTAAGTGAATTCTACTCAGATTATTAACTTAACTATCATTCATTTTCAAGTGAATTCTACTCAGATTATTAAATTGACTCTCATTCATTATTTCATTGAACCCTATCAATTAGATTACGTCACCCAACCTACTTTTGTAACTTTATTTTAGTTTCTAACCGATTAATGCCTTCAAAATTACGTAATTTGTTTGTCAAAAACTAACAGTTGCATTAACACATCTTTGGAAATATTCCTTTTGTTGCCAAGACAAATTACTATAAATTTGCGATTTGTTCAGCTTGAGAATGATATCGCCGAAAAGAGTAACTCTTTGCTGAACACCTTTTCTTTTCTATAGATTATTGTTAGTAGACAAACACAGTCTTCTGAGTGGTGGTTGTTTCTCGCTGAAAGTTAATCTTTCATCTCTTTGTAGCCGTTTCTTGAATAACAGATCATCTATCTGCTAATTGTATCCGCCTACGCGAAGTCTTCTGTGATTGGTTGTTGAATCAGTCGATGTTCTTATTTTTATCACGACCAATATTTGCGGCATAAACATTGACGTAAATTACTATCTACCAGTTTGGCTAGGAGCCAAATCTTACCACAATATTGCCTCTCCGTTAAGCATCTTCAAATAAAAGACTCGATTGACATGAGATCATGTGACGCGATTCTATCTGAACTGAAGTGGAAAACCAATTCATCATTATGGTATCTCTGTTTCCTA